CAACCTTCCTTCTGAGGAGTGGCTGGTGGGTTTGAACCGCCAGCCTTCTGGTTAGCAGTCAAGTGCCTTAGGCACTATGCTACCAGAGCTCCATGGTAGGTTAGAGATAGGGAAAGAGTTCTGGAGCCCATACAACCCATAACAAATTTGGAAAGTACATTTCCAGATTTCATGGTGGTATCATATATCTACAAACAGAACATTCTGATGACAACTCATGATTAGCAAAATATTTCACTAATTAACATGTAAACATAATATTCTGAAATTGATAATGATCCCTTTACTCTATTAAGTATTCATCCTCCTTAGCCTTTTCATAATCAATCTTTAGGGTTGGGGACAGGAAAACAACATGTAAATTAAGTCAACTATAATATTCCTGTCCTACATCTACTGAATTATAAAATAATAACAAATAAAACATATGGAACATTCTCCATTTTAATGTTTTACATGTATTAACTCATCTAATTCTTATAACTACCACCTGAGAAAGGTTTCATTCATTCATTCAATAAATGCTTACTCACTGGTTACTATGTCCTAGGTGTAAAGGGATATCCCAGTGAATGAAACAGATAAAATCTCTGCCTAAAAGGAAATAAAAGAGGTGTGTTCCAGATCACAAGCTAATAGCTGGGATTCAAATCTAGGAACTCTGGCTCCAGAATTCTTGTTTATACCAACTACAACTTTCTGCTGAAGCTCTGTTTTCAACCAAGAAAGAAGCCTCAACAAAGCCTCACAAAATTCTAACACTAAGAGAGAGCTTTATAGCATCTAATCCAAATACGGGAGCTCTGGTAGCATAGTGGCTAAGACACTTGCCTGCTAACCAGACGGCTGGCGGTTCAAACCCACCAGCCACTCCTTGGAAGGAGGGTTGGGCAATCCTACTTCCGTAGTGATACTGCCTCGGAAACCCAAGGAGGGGTCGCTATGAGTCGGGTTTGACTCGATGGCACATAACAACAACAACAACAACAATCCAAATACATCCAGGATTAATATCTTTATAATACAGCATTGCTTTCATTTGAGCTTGGGTGCTACTCTAGAATCCTTCTCACTATAAGTGCTCCAAGGTGGTCATGTTTGCTATCCAGAGGAGGTCCTCACTTTAAATTAAGGATACCAAGGTTTCCTGAGAGTCTAAGAACTTTACCCAAGGCCACAAGGCAAGTGACTGGCCACACAGTCTTCACTCATGTCCTCTATATTATGTTGACTTGTCCAGGCAGTGTGAGCAATACACAGATCCAAAGCCACATACAGGACCATATCTCTTCCACACACAGTAAGCATAATAAACAAAACAAAAACAGTTTCCATGTTTTACACTTCCATCCCATCAGCATAACTTAATCAATGCCATGGGTTATCATTCAAGTTTTTTTTTTAAATTTTTCCTTAGACTAACTAAAGAAGTCTTTGGGCTTCAGAGGCATAGTCTCAATTTACAGGTTTGTTTGTTTGTTTTTTAAAATCTCCAGCTTGAGATATTTGAAACTCTTATACACAGGCTCATACATATTATATTCACTTTCTACTTTTCTATATTTTTATGTGTAGGATCTTTGGAGGCGTTTCAGTAAAATAAAGTCAGATACAAAGAATTCTTAAACCCTCAGATTTTAATTACCATACAATCAAACTGGGGAGGGATAGCCAGTTTAGCTTTCTGGCAAAAGTAAAGTTAAGCTGACTTCAAAATGCCAGAGGTTTCCATACGTGAAAGATAGGGCCAATTCAGTTTAGAGTTCAATGACTCAAGTAATTAGGGCAGTAGAAGCGCTTTGTGGTTTGACTACTTAATGACTTGGGGTCAAAAGTCACTAGCTCTATTTCTGCTAAAGTACTGACAGGTTTTCTTGGTGTGAGTAAGCCTTATCAGTTTTCTGGGCAATAACTCCCACTGAGTTTAATTAATGAATGATTCACAATTATCTGCTGGAAAAATCTGTCCTAAATTAAGCTTCTTTAATAACCAGTGAATCCATCTGGCATTATTCCAAATAATTTAAGTGTTTAGGTTAAAGCATATATAAATATAACCATGAATCTAGTGATTTTAATGTCATCTCATAAAACACATATAAACTGAGCTAGCAATGACCATGAGAAGAACAGTAAGAGAGGCTGTTGCCACATAAGAATCAGAAGCTAGTTTCTAAGCTATAGGACCTGGGCTAAGAATCAGAAGCTAGTTTCTAAGCTATAGGACCTAAGGCAGTTCTTGCAACTAGTGATGAAGGAAGAGAAGGCAGCTGCTCAGTTCTTTAGAGAAATGCAGATTTTTTATTTTCCTAATAGAATTTCATGAGCATTAAAAAAGAAAGAAAGAAAGAAAGAAAAATGCTCATTTATTTTACAAATACTTATTGAGCATCTCTAGGTAGTCCTTGGTGATTTAACATATTCAGAGCAAGGGAATAGAAATTACGTAACATTATGTGATATCAGGAGAATTAAGTTTCCTAAACATGAACATAAACTTTGTTTCAATCCTTGATGTAATCAAAATACAAAGTCCTAAAATTAAATCACGCCATGAATCAGTTGTAAGAGCCTAGGTAAATTGCAAACCTTTCTGTAAATGAATCTTCAGAAACTGAGGCAATGTTCTCTAAAGAGTCTTTAGCTCTAGCATTGTAAGAGCCAGCAAGATTCAAAATAAAACAGAATGTAGTTGTCTCTATGCCGCAGCTATTCCTCTATCTCAAACAATCCTCCAAGTCCTGCCATGCTTACAGGCAGAGTAGACACGACATTTCAAATATTCCCAGCACAAGAAAAACGTGGTAATTCTATGACCTGTCTTTGCAAAAATCTTGCTCAACTTATTTTCTAGTATACCTAAAAGTTATTATATATTTTATGATGTATGTATCATTCAAGTTTTTAAAGATTCTTTATTTTTAGCAAGTAGCTGCATACAAAGTATAGTATCCTTTTCCTCTAAAAATGTCAATAAATCCAATGAAAACTGAAGGAGAAAGAATGGTTGAAATAACTGCATTACCAACTATAATAGTTACAAATAATATTTTGTACAAATAAGTTATTTACCCACATGCAGAAATCTAAGTTCAGGTGATGTAATTGCCCTTTTTGTAATGAGACAGTTGACACTGATTTAGTTTTAGCATTTGCCACCAAGCAATAAAGGTGACCATGGAACACTTACAAGTGTTATAAGAAAAATCCTAAAAAATTTGTGCAGTAATACTCCCTTTGAAACCCAGTATTTCCAATGATAGGTTAGTCAAAGTTTATTAATGCTACTCAAGAAAAATTAAAAAAAATAATAATTCTTTGCAAATTCTGAATCTGTTTATATCATCAATGGGCTGAACAGATTTAGTACTCACTGTAGAAGGAGCAGGCTAGGGGAAGACGTACCTGTTGTCTATTATTTGGCATGTAGGGCAGCATAGTTGACACATGGAACATGAGTTCATAATCTTTGTATGTGGTATAGAGGGAGTGAGTTCCTGTAGAATCAGCTAAAAACAAAAAAAATAATTACAAAAAAAGTTAGGCAAATATAAAATTTGAACTTTTGCACTTAGAAGGTCATTATTACAACAGCTAGTTTAATTAAAAAACAAAAATCAAAATAAAACTCTAACATACCGGAGTCTTGGTATTAATCAGCCTGTTTTCTAACCATATACTGTTTCTAAGTGTTCAGTTTTCTCTACACCTTCTCTCTTTCACCTGCTTTGGTTTTATGCTTGTTCTTTTATCCTATGTTCTCACCTTCAGAATACTGATGCAATATGTAAGGAGTATAGCTGAACAGAGGAGTAAAGAAGCTGGAGGTTTGGTCTGGTACAGTTCTGAGTGCAATTATTTGAAAGAGTGAACTAACCAGTAGTTATTCTTACCCTGTCCTTTTGTGAGCTTGTGTATTTACAGATAATTCTTAGTTATCCTTGGGCATTTGATTTTATAGGATCCCAGTGAAATGAAACAGAACTGACAAAACAGGAAATGAGAACAAAATGGTTATTTAAAAAATTTATTTCACTGAATGATGTAATTGCAAGATTCTTTGCAAATTCCAAACCCATCTGTATTATCAATGAGACTATTTCAGATTTAGGGTTTCAGACACAAGAACCAACACAGCAACTATATTTCAGTAGTAATCTTGGGGTATAGTTTTGAGTCATTTTGCATATGGGGAAAAGAAAACAAATATATATATAGAGAGAGAAAATAAGTAATAAATAGAGTACATACTGCTTTTCCTAGTCATTAATTTCTAGTTAGATGATCTTTTAAACATGAGAAACAGTGATGCTCAACATCATTTAAAACAAAGTTTATTTCTGTTTCTTTGAAATTAATCCTTCAGAGAGTAATCATTTAAAAATTTTTTAAGTTAAAAAATTAAACATTTTATTCTAAAAATGAAAAAAATTTAACCTCCATGGACCTTTATTATTTTCTTTCTGAATCCTGTAGTATGCCCTTCTTGCCAAAATTATGTTTGGTGCAGAGATATATCTGAAAATTCTCTACAAAAGTATCATATATAGTTTTTGGACATTCTGAAGAGCTACTTACATAAGGTAATTTCATGAATAAGGGAGGTACATAAAGTATTTACATTATTGATAGAGATAAATCAATTTGGGATGTTCAATATTCATCTAATAGTTTGTGTGCCAACTATTCCTGAACATAAAGGTATTTTTTTCTTTTAACTATTCATTAAATGTTGTTGTTATGTGCCGTGAAGTCGGACCCGACTCATAGCGACCCCTCCTTGGGTTGCTGAGGCAGTATCGCTACAGAAGTAGATTGCCCAACCTTCCTTCCAAAGAGAGGCTGGTGGATTTGAACCGCCAGCCTTCTTGTTAGCAGTCAAGTGTCTTAGGTACTATGCTACCAGAGCTCCTATTCATTAAATAGGGTGAGCATATTTGTTATTTTCCATAGGACTCCTCAGAAAGCAGTATTCCATTTTGATTTTTTGGCTCAAAACCTTAACACCAAATAGTAAACAAGCTAAGTACCAGGAAAAGATTCAATGAAGAACTGAATCATGGATAACAATACTTAAGGTCAAATGATGCAATAGCCAACGTATATTCAATTATTCCCATCTCAACACTATGTCACTAGATGATAAAAATTCAGTAAGAGAAATGCTGATATGTACTTTTAGAGTTTAGTTCACAAGTTTCAGATTCAGGACATTGCAGCAGAGAAGAAAAATACATTTTTGGAAATGTGGTCAGTTGTCTATTCCAAGGAATATTAATAAATGAGTTTCTGAAATTAAATATACCAAAAGTTTTTATCTCAATTCAAGCATAGAATGGAGAAATAAACTGACAAGCTGGTTCAGGGGTTTGGTACAAATGTTTCTAATAAAAAAGGAAATATAGACCATCATGGTGCTCCCGAGTTTTGTCATTCTTTATATCTAGATGAAATAAAGGCTACCCATGGCCTAGTGTCCGGACTCCTCTCTGGTTAGCAGACATTTTTAGTGGCTCACATCCTCTCTGTTCTGACTCCACTTCATTTTGTATTTACCTATTTTAGAGCTGGAAAAGATCCAAGATATTCTAGCACACTGCCCTCCATTTTACTTGTAAGGAAACTGAGGCCCACATTTAACAAAGGTTTCAACTAGAACATGATTCTCCAAAATCCAAGGAGAAATATTTTTATTTGTCTATGAAAAACATTCTTATGTGAGCATTCCATGAAACATAATTCTTAGACTATCTTCTCTCTGCTGAAAGAATAATGCATTAACCTTCTGTGTATCTCTCAGAGTACCTAACAAAATACTTGGTTCATAACAGAAATAACTTAAATACTTGTTGATGATTAGAGTCAACATATCAAAAAATATCTCTCATACTATCTTCTCCTTGAGCTAAGGTACTTAGTACTATATCTGTAATGTATCAATATTTCCAAAGTTATAAAAATTCAAAGCTGATGTCAAATTCTATATGTAGGAAAAAGATTATCTATGTTGCGATTTTATGCAATGTAAGATCTGGAGTTCTTAAAACTTTTTCTCAATCCAACCCACTCAAGAGAGGGGAGACCCTCTCATCAGTAGTAACAGGAGTGAATGTCAGCAGCAATTTTCAACCAGGAAGGACACTTCTTAAGGCAGCATATTTGCATCTCTAGGAGGTGGCTGGCAGTTTTCAGATAACAGGAATTTGAAAAAAAGAAAAATTAGAAAAGCCCTCTCTGATCTTAAAATATATGGATATTCCTATTTTATATACCATAAATTATTTCCTAATCTTTATGTGTCTGAAGAATAAGCAATATGGATTCAATGTACTATCATTTTCAACCCTGACATATGTAGAGGATGCACTGTAGCACATATGAGTTAATACTGTCTCCATGTTTTTGGTATCCTGTAACTGTAACTTTAAAAAACTAATCTAAAAGCTGAGAGCTCATGATAGGTACATAATGACTTGGGTCACTACACAAAAAAGCACAAGGCTGATTGAGGTGGAGTACCATTGATGGTCCGAAACTGACTGGACTTTTGAGCATGAATTGGAGATGCAGAGGAAAGAATGGACAAAAGAGAGCCATATGACCATCAGGCTGCCTTCGTTCCCATCCAGCTCTGCCACCTTGAATCTCCCACACTGTACTCTCCTTTCATCATGTCTCAAACTTCCTCATATGAGGAGTGGATTAGGGGCTCTCCAAGACTCTCACTCTACTGCCCATCAATTTCATTAAAAGAGCCAGCAAAATTACCCTGGTATTTTAGGGGCTAGCAACTAAGTAACACTACCAATAAAAATATTAGAAAAATAAAGAATTTATGAGGATCATAAGGCATATGATCATGTAGATGATGATATGAAAGAGAATCATGTCACAGTAGAACTGAAAGCTCCTGTTTTCAATTGGCCCATCACTCAGGGGAGCCTGCCCGACTAATGTCATTGAAAAAATATGATGCTTTTAATCACTATTCCAACACCCCAGTTAAGATCCTGAATCTTCAAGCAAACATAATAAGCCCGGTGACAGGGCATGAATGAATGTATCAAGAATATTTTGTCTCTTAGAAATGAATGTAGTACTTGTCCTTGGTATACAGGAAACAAGAGCATAACAGAAGAGGTGAGGCAACAGAAAGAAGAAAATATTAAAAGATTCTTCCTGAAACACCAGGGAACCTCTCTGTTGGTGTTACAAAGGAAAAAGAATTGACCGTTTGAGCTTTTGATGTGAAGCACAGATCTTTTGAGAAATGTGCTTTCTTTTTTCATCTGAGGAAATCTACACTCTACCCCAAATGAGCTTGTTTGCTAGGCTGTTCTGGGGTCAAGAACATGAGGGCATGCTATGACTAGCTTAGATTTACACAGTCTGCCTACCTTTGGAGAATTAAACTTGCACACACACACAACTATGAAGCTTACTTTTATTGTCTAGCTGAGCTCGATATTTACTAAATCCTTTCAGCCGTACTCTCTGGCCCAGAAGATCAAGGAATTCTTCAAAAGCTGGACCCGCTGTCTCATTGTTATACATCTCTTCTTCGGTGCTCTGGCCTGCTTTGCAATAAAGGATCCCAATCTTGTGCTGAAAGCTCAGCTGAAATGGGGGAGAAATGTAATTACTTGGCAAAGAGTATCAGACAAGCTAACTTCAAGTAAAATTAAAACTATAAAAGCTTAGAATTAGTTTTAGGAAAGCATGCCAGAACAATTTACATAAGCAAATAAGTAAAACAGTAAGTGACTATCACTGTTTCTGCTGTTAAAAATATGTAATAAAACCAGAAACCCAGAATATAGCTGGAGAAATGTCAGAAACCTTAAGAAATACAATATATGGGCCGGGCTACATGGAATTAGCCAGGTTTCTGAAAAGGACAGGCAGTCAGGTCAAATATCTACTTAAAAGTACAAATGTAGAAATAATGAGTATTACATACTCCATCTGGTAATTAGCATTACCTACCAAGTCAAAAGTAATGGCCACAAGCTTTTAAAAGTTTTCTATTTTTCTAATTCCTAATGCTTTTTATTTGAACACACATGGTAGCACATAAGACTTTTAGGAAAAAATATGCCAAATTGCAGTCTGGTAAGAAAGGCATCACACTGGAAATTGTGATACATATATATAAATAGGGGAGCTCTGGTAGCATAGTGGCTAAGGCACTTGACTGCTCACCAGATGGCTGGCGGTTCAAACCCATCAGCCACTCCTCGGAAGGAAGGTTGGGCAATCCTACTTCCGTAGTGATACTGCCTCGGAAACCCAAGGAGGGGTCGCTATGAGTCAGGGCTGACTCGACGGCACATAACAACAACAACATATATAAATAGAATAATGTTTTGTTTTTATAAAAGTAACTTTGGCTGTTACAAGCATTTCTTACATTTTTGACTGTTTTGGAAAGAAACATCTGCTAAACATGCAATAATTAGCATAAAGAATTTTCAAAGCAATTGAAGAGTTCCTGTTGTAATTCTATCTCACACGGTTGAAGCCACTGGCCTGCATTCCCCTGTGGCCAGGGAGAAACAGGACCTCAATCCATTTTCACAGCTTCCCTATTCCCCCCAAAGAAAACTACTTCTCCCACATGACATCAGCACTCTTAATCTTACTACCAGCAACCTGAGCCTCAAAGACTGACAGATTATTAGACGTCACTGATTCCCAAAAGACATCAATCCAGAACACTGTTTACTTTCAGTATCGAGCTTTAAAATAGAGCCTTAATAAAAATGGATAGTTGACTGTATCAGTAAAATAATACTCATTTCCCTTGAGCAGCAAAAGAATAAAAACAGGCTCATCTACATTACCTAATGAAAACACACAATGTGAGAGAAGACGGAAATACCTGCTTGGATAGTCTAAGCAGGCTGCAGCAAGCATTTCATTACATGTCAGGAAAAATTTAGAGGTGAGTAGGTAGAGTCAACCAACACTATATTCTGAATGCACTCCAGTCATGACTAAGTGCTATAGGGAATATACAAGAAAGCATCATCTGCTTACAACCTGAGTGAATCAGCTACTTGCACTGGTGAAAATGTATTGGGGTAGGGGAGCATACCCTTGGGCTCCTGACAGAGTTATAGCTACTTAATCACCCAGGAAAGAGAATGATCTGCACCTTGGGTGTGATGACTTGAGATGGGGTGCATAAGCATCATGAGTTTTATTGAACTAGTAGGGCCAAGAAAAAGAAAACTTCCACTCATCCAGAGGAAAAATTATCTGATCAACTGAGTTATCCAAGGAAAGGAGAAACCATACTTGCTGCAAATAGACCATCATCTTTAAAAAATGTTAAGTACATTTGGGAAACACCTATGAATAGTAATATTTCTTCTGACTAGCATTCAGGAAAAGCCCAAATGACTAGATATACTTCTCTGCTTACTGTGCCATTTGTAACTTACCTCCTGTCAACTTCACACCCCTTTCTTCCCAGCCATCAAACAAGCCAGCCTGTCTGGATCCTACCTGTGAACATGGTTTTTGTTTTCATCCAAGAAGCTCCTGGCCCATGGAAATCAGAGGATGTGATGTGGCTAAATCAGATTTCAAAGCCCTGGGTGGACAGCTGCCCAGATGCCTACGGGCCAGAGCTCTAGCTCCTATGAAAAGGTGTGTACCACACCTCTTCTGATAAATGTGCCGTATGAGTAGCTCACAAAATGGAACTTAGGGTAGACAAATACCTCCAATGACTTAGAATAAAACACCATGTTAGTCCACTAAATATAATAATATAATGAAGTATTTAGAGATCTATTTTCCCTAAATCACTGTCACAGCTATCCTTATCAAAACAATGTAAGCACAACATCAAGCATGACTATTTCTGTCCTGTATCAAAAAGCTAGGAAAATATTCTACATCTTGATCATGATACAAAGCAAATTAGAGACTCCAGCACTTCATGTACTAAAACAGCCAACTGTCTCAGACCCAGGTTTCATTTTTAACCCCTCTAAACCTCAGGTTAGGAGCTCTGGTAGTGTACTGGCTAAGGCATTTGACTGTTAACCAGAAGGCTGGGAGTTCAAACCTACCAGCCACTCCTTGGAAGGAAGGTTGGACAATCTACTTCTGTAGTGATACTGCCTTGGAAACCCAAGGAGGGGTCACTATGAGTTGGATCTGACTGGATGGCAGTGAGTTTGTTTTTTTTAAACCTCAGGTTGAAGGAGCCTTGGTGAAGTGGTAAGCACTAGGCTGCTAAATGCAAGAAAGCAGAAACTAACAACACTAAGTAACTGGCAGAGTTACACTTTAGGTTATGTTTTAAATTATCTTTTTAAGACTGGAAAACCCTTGCAATGGCAACATAAAATTAGCCCATTCTCTACTGGACAGATTTATTATTAGGAAAACTGAAAACAAAAACAAAAACCCCCATCATTATCTGGAGTAAACTCTCAACCACAAATTAGTGGCAACTCTCAAGAGGTTAATGGTGGCTTTAGAAACTGGGATGTTATAAAGGTGTCCAATATCTTTCAGAGATGAAAATAATATTTTTTACAGTAACTTTTTGAGATAAAGTATCTTTTCTTCATGTAATATGGGAATCAGGTATTAAGAGCTGTAGGACCTTAAAACAATATATTATGGTAAGCTTAAACATCATCAATATATAGAAGTCTTACGTTCTAAAACTGAACAAATGTAACCTCAAAAGAAAAAGCTGAAGAAATACATCTGGAACATTGAAATGCATTGGGCTGCTTATAAGTACAATCCAATTTTCAAAATTACTTTCTTAACATCAAATTGTAAATAAATGTTCATTAAAAATACTTAAAATGCTGAATTTTAAAAATTTCAACCATAGCATTGGGACTATTCTGCTGTATCCAAAACTCACTACTATTGTGTAGATTCCAACTTGCAGTGACCCTATAGGACAGAATAGAACAGTCCCACAGGATTTCCAAGGCTATAAATCTTTTTTTTAAATTTTATTGTGATTTGGGTGAAAGTTTACAGAGCAAATTCATCTTCTGTACAGCAGTTCACATTCACCTTGTCTCGTGACATTGACTGTAATTTCCCACAACACAACAGCTCTCCTCTCACTTCCTTCCCATAGCCACCTCTTTCCTGTGTCCTTCCCTCCCATGCATTCCTGCCCCCTACCCCAAGTTGTCTCCCTATGCATACATAGCCCTTCTATTCTCCCATGATTGATCTCTCCAAGGAGTGTATCCACCTAAGCCAAGGCTGTAAATCTTTAAGGAAGTAGATTGTCTCATCTTTCTCCCATGGAGTGGCTTGTGGGTTCCATCCACTGACCTTTTGGTTTGCAGCTGAATTCTTTAACCACTGAGACACAAGAACTCCTTATTCTGCTGCATATATATCCCAAATACTTAGTTTTATGAAGAGGCAGTCAGCTGAAGTTGCTATAATGTATCTCTTTTTACTGCTCTACAAAAGAATCCTTATTTGCACAGCAGCTTCCACAGTGCAGACTGTGAGGTCTTCCTGAATGGGGGAAATGGAGGCATCTGCATCTTCTACAGCAGCCTAAAGGGGCCACACATGCCACCTACCAGGCAAGAAAATAAACCTGACTCCTGTTATTTCAGTACAGTGATTTATTTTAAATGGACAACAGAAATTTACTAGAAATATAAAGGGACAAAGAAGTCACCATATGGCTTGGCAAATTCTTCTTACCAATAAATATTCCTTATACATGACAATGGATGCTGTTCTGCCCTATAAGCCTATTTGAACATTAAGTATTTGGTGCCACCCATGTATCCTCTCTAAGGAATTCTGGTGGCACAGTGCTTAAGGCATTCAGCTACTAATCAAACGATCAGTAGCTTGAACCCACCAGCCTCTCTGTGGGAGAAAGATGAGACAATGAGGCAGTCTGCTTCTGTAAAGATTTACCGTCTTGGAAACCTTATGGGAGCAGTTCTACTCTATCCTATAGAGTCGCTATGAGTCAGAACTGACTTAATGGTGGTGGTGTTTTCTGTTTTTTTGTTTTTGTCAATATATATCCTCTCTATATCTTCAGAATAGCATGTTTCCTTCAACTATTTTGTGGATATTTTGTACATTTCACCTACTTTACCAGTCATGATACTGGTAAACCTATTTTGGATATAATATGGTTTTAGAAGTCACTTGCTCACAATTAGTTTTAGATGGTTTGGTTGTTGTTTCTAAAGTGTCAGGCTTTCAACTCCTTTTTTATTGTGATTTGGGTGAAATTTTACAGAGCAAATTCACTTTCCATACAGCAGTTCACATACACCATGTCTCATGACATTGACCACAATTTACCAGGATGCAACAGCTCCCCTCCCACTTCCTCCCCATAGTTACCTCTTCCCAGTGTCCATCCCTCCATGCACTCCTGTGCCCTGAGCTGTCTCCCTGTGCATAAACAGCCCTTTCTCCCTTGATTGTTCTCTCCAATGAGTGTATCTACCTCAACTAACTTGTTCAACTCATATGCCTAACTTTTGTTTGGCTGGAAACCACAGGTGTGGGTTCAATTCCAGACCTGAAGGGCAGCTAGGGACCATAGTCTCGGCGGTTCCACCAGGCTCTACTGGACCAGCAAA